AACAGCATACATACGACAACTTTTGGGACTGGGACTAAATACAACATACACAACAACCCATGGATACGACTCATCGGCAACATTAACCCCAACATAACAACATACATACAACAACATCCATGGGACTGGAGGAGTCCCACATATATCCCTGGACTGGTCTGTGTGAAGCAGTTGGTATACGCTAGCCCGGACCATCCATCGGACTGGAAGAGTTTATAGCTGTAATTCAAGCTGTGGGCTCAACCTTCCAGGGGTAGGCTTGTTCGACGAAGGCCCGTCGGTTCCGTGGGATGGCGCATCCGTGTTGGTTGGAGACCTTTCAGGCGCCTTGCCTGGCGAGTCTCCGTGTGCAGGTGACTTCACCCACCCAGGTGGCCACCAAGGTTCGTGGACTGAGGATCGAGTGGAAGAATCACGGCTTTGTGACTGGCGAAGATCTTTCCATTTTCAATGGCTGGATCACTGCTGGTGATGGTGGAATAGATCTGAGGTTGGAGCAGATCCCTGCTACTCGGGTCGTGCGCCTTGGAGGCTTCTTGGCAGATCAGATCATCGAGCTGTGTTCAGGGCTTGGAGGCATGTCTGCCGCTGCTAGTGCCTTGGGTTTGAAGAGTATGGCATGCATGGACCTCTCTCCTTTGGCCATCGCAGCTTGCAGGAGAAATCACGACAGCCTTGTTTTGGAAGGGGACATTTGCAACCCTGACGATTTGGCACGTCTTTTTTCTTTGATGAAGGGGGTCAAAGTTGGGCTCCTCTGTGGATTTCCGTGTCCCCCCTTTAGTGTGATGGGTGATCAAAAGGCCTTTGGGGATAGTAGATCTGAAGTGTTTGTGGCGGCTTTGAACGCTGCATTCCTCTTTAACTCCGCCTATGTGATCTTGGAATGCACGCCTACCACTGGCAAGTATCAACAAGTTCAAGATCTTCTATGTTCCTTTGCGAGAGCCATGAACTTTGAGTGCAGACAGCAGATTCTCAAGCTCTCCGATGTCTGGCCATGTCAAAGGACTCGTTGGTGGTGTTATCTCATTCCAGCAGAGGCAGTTCCCAACAATGTCATCTTGCCCTCTTTGCCCAGGTTTCCTCACCTACAAACAGTTGGTGACATTCTGCCTTCTTGGCCGTTTTGGTCCAGAGCTGAAGAGGAAGCCCTATCATGGACGCCTGAAGAGGAAGACTTCTATGCATCGACCCTGGTGTTGGAGAACCATGAATTGCGACAGTCAGGATCCTGCCCTACTCTTCTTCACAGCCTTGGACATCATCTATATGCATGCCCTTGTGGCTGTCGGCATCAGGGATTGAGCCATGAGCGGCTTTTGCGAGATGGTGTGGCTCTCACGATGCTTCCATCCACCTTTTCAGCTCAGCATTATCGGCATTTACACCCATGTGAGGCGGGTTATCTGTGCAGTCTTCCGGCTGATTTCATCTACAACTTAGAGCAGGCGAGGAGTGATCTGCCTCTCATTGGTCAGACAGCTGCTCCACTACAGACCATGTGGGTTCTCTTGCATGTTCTACATCAATTGCAAGAGCATGGATTTGGTTCTTGGCCCTTGAACTTCTCCAATCCTCAGGAAGTGCTTCTTGCTTACATCAACAACAACCTTGAGGTCTGCAAGCAGCTCTGGCCTACATGTGAGCACCGACATCCACAGGAGGTATGCTTCAAGGAGGCTGATTCCAGCTTTTCGTGCTTGCTTGACCCCATGACATCGGCGCAGCAGTTTCTTCATGCACACCAACAACTTTTGGGTTGGGCTCATCGTGTCACTCTTTTTCGGGATGGCATCCCACAGCTTCCCAATGCTCTCTTGCGAGGAGGTTCCTACGATGTGGTTGTCACGCAGCCTAGACACTCTCGGCCAGCTCCGACGGACTTCATCTCAGTCAAGCTGCACGATGGCATTACTGAGTATGACTTTCATGGACCAGCAGGAACTCGTTTGTCATCAGTTCTTGAATCCCTTGGCTTCAGCTACAAGCATGGCATTGAGTTCAGCAACTTATTCCGCAGCTATCGATGGGGTGATGCTCTGTGGCAAAGTGAGCAAGGAGAAGTTCGTGGACTTGGCAGGGCATCTCCCTCAGCCACTGGAGTGCATCATCATGAACTCTATGGTGAACTTCACACCATCCTCCAACTTCTGCCATCGCACATCCTGGATGCCGTGCAGGTTGTTCCTCACCACATCATTCAGTTGCTCATCAACCGGCCAGCCAGCTTTGCATCCAAGCTTCTCCTCAACGAGCACAGTAAACCCTTTACCTGGCTCATCTTTCCACTTCTGGCGAAGTCCCATTGGAGTCTCCTCATCTTGGACTTCTCGCTCATGGAATTTCACTTCCTTGATGGACTTCCAGACTTTCACTTGGATTTGGTGACCTCGGTGGTTTCAACCGTTGCCCTTGCTTTCAGCATGGCCACTCCAAAGCTTCGTCAGAGGACTCCGCTGGAACAGCTGGATGGCGACTATTGTGCAGCTGTCTTGCTTCACAATGTGGGCATCTTCTTCAATCTTTGGTCGGCCATGACCGTGGATGCACTACAGGACTGGACTGACTCGCTCAAGTCTCAGGAGGAGCTTCGTGGTTGTGGGCCTGCCGAGTACTCTCAGACACATGCTTGGCTATGCAAATTCCTTATCACTAAGGGAGTTCCTGATGCTGATTCTCCAGCCCGCGCCACCTTGGCTTTGAAGAAGCTTGGCCATGCACCCATCGCCAAGGCCATTTCCCAGGCCAACCCATGGTCAGCACTGAAGCAGTTGGCAAACGCCCAGCAACGGCCTTTTCAGTGGATCCAACACAACGAGCTGATGAATCACATCCAACAGAGGGCCAAGGAGCACCACGGTGCCGCATCCGGTCCGTCCAAAAAGCCCTCCAAGAAGCGAGCTGAACCGGCACCGCCAGTGTCTCCAAATGCACTGATCTTGGCTCCCAAATCCTTTGTGGATGAACATGATCACGAACTCCCACAGCTTCAGCTCGACAAAGTGACACCTGAATCCAATGGCATCATTTTGGGTACCGTGGAGCAAGCTGCCAATTTCTTGAGAGGTCAGAAGACCATATCGATCAATTCGCTCGCCATGCTCACAACGACAGAAATTCCGAGCACTATGCATGGGAAGCTCACTGTCCAGCACATGGTCTGGCCAGCACTGCTCGCCGACAGTGCCGATCCCATTTTGATTCGTGGATCCTGTATACAGCTTGGAGATCACATGGCAAAGAAGGTTTTGGGACCGGAGCCAAGTCCTGCCACCTTCGTCCCTGAGCTCTTCAAGCTTCAGGTTTACCAAGATCAATGGCCACACTCCTGGACAGACTTCATTGGCAGACCTCTCAAGGCGCTTGTGCAACATTTCGAGTGTCTTCAGTTCTGCGATGGCTCCACTTGCAACAATGCTTCCAGTTGCAAGCGCTTTCACCCGGCTTTAGAGGAGGAGATCGACATGGTCATCCTTGATGCTTTTGGATGGAAGTGGTGCGATGCTACTGGAGCTGCGGCCAACTCCAAGAAAGCTGCGTCCTTTGGCATCATGGTCCGAGTTCCTCCTTCAGCTGCTCCTGCCATTCTGGCTATCTCCGCCACGGATGGACTCTACACTGAACTACGTGAACCAGTATCTAAAGGGCCAAGCACCAAGTATGCCGTGATTTGGATCAAAGGTGATCTGCAGCAGGCCATACACACCAAATGTCAGACGGCCAAAGCTTTGCATGTTGTTCGTTCTCATCAACGCTACGGACTTCGCTGCCTGGCTACTGATCAAGAAGCAGTGCACAAGGTTGCTCTTCCAAAGCTCCCTTTTGTTGCAGGCAGCAATGCTCTTCAGTTTGAAGTTGGTCCTTGGCCATATGGCTCCACCAAGCAATCAATTGCCCAGTCCTTGCAAGCAGCTGGATGGCAAGCTCGGCCATTACGGCCCACTCATGGCACTCCTGAAGGTCGTTACTGGCTAATTGGGGCAGAGGCTGCTTTCTCCTCACCAATTCTGCAACTCGGTTCAGCATCGCTCATCATCACCCCTGTTGCGATTCTCAAAAGTCGTGCTCCTCCTCAAGTGATGGGTTCTCTGCAAACCCTGCAAAGGCTTCAAGCTCCTTTGGGTGAGGACCCCCTGCAGGTCCGGGATCCATGGGCCACTGCGCTTCATTCAGTTCCGGCTTCCTCTGCTCCGCCAGCTTCCTCCAAGCTGGATGAGATTTCACAGCAGCTTCAGACGTCAGTGGCAGAACAAGTTCGGGAACAGCTTCGCTCTTTCTCCGACTCCTACATGGACACAGATGACTCTCGTCTTTCGCAAATGGAGGCCAGCATCACTGAGTTGCAAGCACAATCCACGCAGTTTGCTGGCTGGTTCGCTGAAGCTGGTGAACGCATGCAGGCGCTTTCCAAGCAGGTGTCCTCACAGGAGGGTCAATTGGTTGAGCTTACCAACAAGGTCACGCGCACAGACCAGCGGACCGAGCAGTTGCATCAATCGGTGGGCAAGCTTCGCCAAGATTTTCAAAATGATTTGGAAGCCTCAATGGCCCGGCAGTTGGAAAGCATGGAGTCGCTTCTCAGCAAGCGACATCGCACCTCGGATTGACTAGGGCAGCGGGGGCCTTTTTGGCTGTCCCGCTCTCCACGGCGCTCCTGCCGTTCTTTTCTTTGGTTACTTCTGCTTTGGGGTGGCTTCCGACTTGGTGAAGCCAGCAATCCTGGCCCTACGGCCTTCCACAGCTCCCGCACTACGGTGGCTTCAGACGAGAATTGGGGCTTTCCTCGCCTGAACCCGGTCTTTGGCTCCTCCATTGATGTCAGCACAGATGATGAGCACGCTGCTTCTGCCCCTTGTTTGGTGGTGGGAACTGCCAATCCTAGTGGCATCAATGGCAAGGCACTTGCATTCGCTTCGCTTCCATGGGGAATATGGAATGTGGCAGAAACTCAGGCAAGTCAACCCGTTTTTGCTCGCTTTCAGCGTGAACTGAACTGGATGACGCAATACAAACTTCATTGCAAGCATGGGCATTTTGCTCCCTTTAGGCCTCACTCTGACTTTGCGGGCTCGTGGACGGGAGTGGCACAGATCTCTCCGGGACCCATTCATCCTGTTCCTCTTCAATGGCAGGGTGCCTCCTATCAATCTGGTCGGATCATGCTCTCCAGTTTTGCCCTGCATGAGCACACGCTCCTTGGAGCAAGTGTCTATGCACCACCTGCTGGACCCACATATCGGAATGCTAAACAGCTTTCTTCTCAGCTCCTAGAGCAGCTTACCGCAGAGCTTGTGCTCTCCTCTCACGGTCCACGTTTCATTGCTGGTGACTTCAACTGTGATACCGAGGACCTTCAGGTCTTCACTACATGGAGACTGGCCGGTTGGGAAGAGATCCAACACTTGGCAGAAAAGCGCTTCTCCCAGCCTCGGCTTCCCACTTCCAAGGGCAAGGCAATTCGCGATCATCTATGGCTTTCTCCAGAACTTCAACAATGGCTCCTTGAGGTGCACGTGGACTCGGAGCACTTTGCTGACCATGCCATTCTCTATGGCCGCTTTCGTCTTCCTGAATCACGTTGGTGGCACCAGCACTGGCCTATGCCATCCAATCTTCCTTGGCAGCATCTTCGCCCTGATCGACTACCAGATTCTGCTGCCCATCACTGGGACACCATGAACATGTCTCAGTCTTTCGTTCACTGGTCCAGAGCCACAGAACAGGCCCTTCGCACCACTGCCACTATTGACTTACCGTCAGGTTGTTGGGGCAGAGGACAAACTCTTAACACCCGTGCGAGGCCGGTTCAGCTTGTACCGGTTCGACAAGGTCGACATGGAGATTTTCAACCCAAAAGCGGCTTTCTCTGCCGAGCAGTTCATCTTTGGTGTCGACAGCTTCGGCGACTCCAGGCTTACTGTCAGCGAGCCACTGCTACCACTCACTGGCACCTTCAAGTTGACCAGATGTCCACCTGGCGAGCCATCATTCATGCTCATGGATTTCGCGATGGATTTCGACGGTGGTGGCTGCGTCGTCCCATTCAGCACGTTGGGTCACCCCCTTCCTTTCCGGAGTGGCCGCCTTCGCATGCCATTGCGCAGATCCTCCTTCACGACTTTGAGGCCAACTTCAGGCAATTCGAATCCTGGCACTTTCGTCGCAGGCATGATCTTGTCCAAGCTCGGCATCTTCATCACAATCGAGTTCTCACCAAGCAGCTCAAGCAAGGAGACTACCTGCCCATCACTCACCTTGTCAAGGAAGAGCAGGCCCAGATCTTGCAAGTCAACAATGATCACTCAGTTCGTCTTTCATGCCATCTTCACCTGCAAGGGGATCAGAGCATTACGCTCAATCTTGAGCCTGCTGAGCTCCAACAGCAGCAAGGTGACGACTACTACCTGAACAGTGACCTGCTCTCAGCTCCTGGGCAAACAGTCGTGGTTCGTACGCAGTGCAACACCTTCCAGGCCATTGAATCTGAGCTCGCCAACCTGTGGACACCCATTTGGCAAAAGCATTCTGGCCTGGCTCTTTCACACTGGAATCGCATTGTCGCTTTTGGGCTGCGTTACATGCCAAAGCTGCCTCCATTGGCATTTCAATGGACTTCCTCGCAGTTTGCGTATTTGACCTCTCATTATCGCAAACGGATTACACGTGGTCCTGATGCCTGGTCTCGTGATGACATCGCCCACTTGCCTGCTCACAAGCAAGCTGATTTGGTCAACATGTTCCGCAAGACCCAGGAGGGCGCTGATTGGCCGCAACAGCTTGTCACCGGCTTTGTCATCCCCATCCGGAAGACACCTATAGCCGACCAGGCTAAGCACTTTCGCCCCATCGTCCTCATCTCCTTCCTGTACCGGCTTTGGGCGACAGGCATTTGTAGGGCCTACCTTCCTTACCTCACCAAGATCATCCCAACCTTGGTGTTTGGTTACGTGCCAGGACGCAGAGCAGAGGACGTTTGGTTTCTTCTCCAGACACTCATTCAGTCTTCTTACACCATGCAGTCTGAGTTGCTGGGGTATAATGCTGACCTGGTCAAATGCTTCAACACGCTGCCAAGAGCTCCCATCCTCCTGCTCCTTCAGCTCATGGGCTTCCCCACTGACTGTGCGAAAGCCTGGAATCAAGCACTCACGCAGCTGCAGCGACGTTTCAGGATCGCCAGCCATACTGGAGATGCTCTTCTCTCCAGTACCGGCTTCCCTGAAGGGGATCCACTCAGTTGCATTGCCATGCTGGCCTTCAATACGGCTTTGGACACGTATCTCAAGATCTATAGCGCTGGAGTGGCTTGTCCGGTTTTCGTGGACAACATTCAGCTCGTTGCATCGGCACTAGGTGAGCTTTGTCATGGCATCAACGTCCTGCAGGTCTTCATGGACTCCTGGGACATTCGTCTTGATCCTGGGAAGTGCTTTGCATGGGCTACGACGCCTGACTCCAGACGTGCCCTACGCAACCTGGGCTATGCCACCAAGCTGGCGGCGAAAGACCTTGGCGCTCAGATGACCTACTCCCGAGTCTCTAGAACACAGGTGGCTCAAAGCAGAATCGGCGCAGTGGCAGATCATTGGCGTATCCTTCGCCATTCTTCTGCGCCGCGGTGGGCCAAGCTTGTTGCTATACGCACTATCACCTGGCCCAAAGTGTTACATGGTGTGGCAAATCGTCTCTTACCAGTGGCCGCTATTGATCAACTTCGCTCTGCTGCCATGCGAGCATTACATTGGGATAGAGCTGGTGCCAGCCCTCATGTTCGTTGGTCGCTCATGCAGTTGCCTCAAATGGATCCAGAGTATCAACAACTTTGGCAGGTTCTTTCCACCTTTTGGCGTATGGTGCATCAATTTCCGTTGATCTTGGAGCTATGGTTACAGTCTGGTGATAATCCGGGGTTCCGAAGTCAAGGTCCTCTGCATGTGGTTGTGCAGTGCCTTGGCTACCTGGACTGGCACCTTGATGCTCAGCTATGTCTGTGGATTCAGCACTTGCGCATCAACTTTTGGACGCTTTCTCTCGAATGTCTCCAGCTTCTTTTACAGTATAGCTGGCACCAGAAAGTATGTCTTAAAGTACGTCATCGGAAAGACTTTGCCGGCCTGCACTCCATTCATTGGGCTGCTTCTTTTCGCTCTTTGGTTTTCCCCCAAAGGGATGCTGCTGAGCTTTTGGCCACGATTCAGGATGGCACCTTCTTCACGTCGCATGCTAAAGCGCACTTTGATGATCAGCATTCGGGCCTTTGTGCTTCTTGCCAACAACCTGACACAGTTGCCCATAGAGCGCTACATTGTCCTTACTATCATCAAGTGCGTAGACGATACCCGGCGGAGGTCCGGCTGTGGTCGCAACGATCAATGGCCTTCACACACCATGGACTCCATCCAGCCAATCCTCATCATTGGGAATATTGGCAAGCCCTGTTGAGCCTACCTGACTGTCGTGAAGATTTCTTTGACCTCACGGTGATGGCCGAGCACACCTTCATCTTCACCGATGGCAGTTGCTCTTCGCCGAAGAAGCCCAGTCAAGCTCTAGCGGCATGGTCAGTCATTACATTGGAGCCACAGCGCACCTTGTCCCAAGGTCCAGTGCCGGGCCTGATTCAATCCATTGATTTGGCGGAGGCCATGGCGGTTCATTCTGCTTTTCTTTGGGTGCTGCGAACTGGTGCGCGGGCTACCATTTTTTCTGACAGCCAATATGCTTTGGACAACTTTCGGCATCTACAGAAACATTTGGATGTCCCTCCTCGTTGGAAACACCAGGGTCTCTGGCAGCAAGCTCTCAAAACGGTTGAACAGCTTGATCATGGGCAGGTGACACTTCAGAAGATTTCCTCCCACATGGAAGAGGATCAATGTGCTTCACCTCGAGCTGATTGGTGCAAGAAAGGCAATGATTTTGCAGATCGGTTGGCCAGATGGCAGAACCATTTGCGCTCAGATGCCTTCATGGCCACATACAGTGCTTACTGCGCAGCTGAAGAGGTGGCATTTACCGCAACCCGTGCACAGCTGTCCTTCCTCACAGATCTGGCGAATTTGAGTCTGTCGAGACCTACTGAGTGTAGCATTCCTGAGGAGGCCTCCTTAGCTACCCTTGGAGCTGGCACTGAAGCTAATGACGCTTCCCTTGCCGCTCAACTAGGCCCGGAGATCTTGAGTCATTCAATTCGTTTAGGCAAGTTTTCAGAGTCGGTGGTTGGCAATTTGGTTTCCTGGCTCATTTGTGTTGACATCTCTTCTTCTGTTAAGGTTTATGTTTCTCTTCTCGAGCTTTTGGTGGGATTTTGTCTTGATGGCAACCATTTGCCCCTTCCAGACCATTTCGAAGATGGGGTACTTTTGACCCAGAACGAAGTGCCCTGTGGTGGTCTTGTTAGGCAGACGTTGGCGACTCAGCTTTCGACTTTCTCGGAGTTGTTCAACCTTGTTTGTGGGCACTTCAATCTCAGTCTGGACACCTGCCACATGGCACGTCCGCACTTGCGAATCTTCAAGAGGTTCCCTTGTGTTTTTATGGGTTGGAGTGGTGACATCTCCAGACGTGTTTCGGATGATCTTTTACGCTTTACTGCCTCTTGGCCGGTTCGCTACTCCCGGGACTTAGCGCGACCTCGATGAGGTTTTGAGGCGCTGCTTGTTGACGCATGGCCGCTCGACCTCGGAGCCACCATGTGCCGTTCGACTTCGTCGACCGCGTGTGAATAAATATAGCTGTAATTCAGTATAGTTTCCTTTATGAGTATACTATACTGGGGTTTTCATGAGAACTATTCCTGGACTTGAATCGGTTCATTCATGAAAGCCCCTGGAAATCACATGACCCATCACTGGTCGGACCATTCTCCAACTCTCTAGAAGTCAGACTTAGTCTACTTTCATTGGGGTACGTGGAACTGCAGTACCCCCAATGGATCCAAAGCTCCATCCCAGACACTCCATGGGACGGGGATAGGACTGCCGATCAGGCCAGGGGTGGTTGACCTGGGGTCAATGTAAACATGCCATACATGGAGTGTTTGAATCTCATGCTCTATCCCTATGGACCCACGGATCAGCACGGCTCTACGGATCCCTTGGAGGAGCCGACTGCCTTCGGATCAGCACAGCTCGATGCAATCGCTTGGTGAACTGATCACTTATGTGCGCTCTGCGTGAGGTGCGCAGATGATGAGACCGCAACGGTCACGCCGAAATTCATGCGCAATGCAGGCAGATCGCAAGGCGCTGCTGAGAACGCTGGCGGCTGCACTGCTGACGGACATAGAGCTGCAGCAAATCCTCTGCTTCATGGGCCCCAATCGGCACAGGCAAGTCATCGCTTGTGCCGATGATCCAATCGGCATTCCCTGGCATGCTGTGCGAGGTGACAAGGCCTCAGCTGAACCTGAAGCAAGCAGAGGATCGTGCAGGAGTCTGCTCTCGAGTGCGTCTTCATCGCCCGATAATCACATGGTTTCTGCAGGGTGAAAGGTCACACTGCGATGAGATTGAAACGTCTTGGCCTGGGGTCAGCCTTGTTGCTTGGCTGTGCACTACATGCCGGAACAATGCTTTCACGGAGTAGCAAAGCAGCTTTGATGGTTTGATGGTGCTGCAATGGTCGTCGACTTTGATCAAGCATTGCTACCAAACAGAACTGCGCTGGAACATTCAAAGCCTTTGACAACCGCTTTGTGCAATACTTCAACAGCCCCCATGCACCGGAGACATCCACACGCAAAACGTCGGTCTCCGAACGAGAGGTGTTCGCCTTAATCTCTCACACCACGTCGGCCTTCCGCGCGTTGGTCTTCTTACATGCGCTCGTTCTTAGGGATGTCTTACCCCCGAAAAATTGCGTACCATTTGGTTTGTGGCAGACAAACCCAAAATGTGTACCATCCATGGCTGCTTTTTACATTCAACCTTGGCTGCGCCATTGGCGCAACTAGTGCGAACAGGGGCTCCTTGGCATCGTTGTGATGCCGATAATATATGGTGAAAGCATGTGAGCATCTTGAAGCTCTAGCCACCTCAACAGAAGACACGCAAAAACTGCCACACGGTGACCAGAGTACTGAGTACTGCGTTCAACTTGTGAACATGACCCGAAGCAAAGCCAAGGCCTTGCGTTTTTCCAATGTATTCGTCGTCTTGCCACGTGGCAAAGCCTCAGTACAGAGTGACCATCGACCATCACATAGCAAACCAGAGACGTCTCAAGATCAAGCAGGCAGCAGTTTGGCAAGAGGATCATTATGCCCAACACATCCAGCCTGTTCATCATGCTCATGCCCAACTGAAGGCAACCAGTAAATGAATCCTGGTCGTGAAGAAGTTCATGAAGCTGCTTCTTCGGCGGTTTCTCTTCACCTTTCTCTCCTTCCTTCTAGAAGCACTTGCCTTCTCGCCGGAGCTCGGCTGCTCTCCTCTTCTCTGATCAGATCATCCCATGGGCTCCATATGTCACTCCTCATCCAGTCCGGTTCAAGCACCACTGGGTGCGGCTTCTTCCACCGCCTTCGGTTCCACCGGGATGCTTGGACCGCAGAAAACCAATGAACCCACGTGACTCAAACACGTGCTCATGCCGCCTGGAGCCAGACCCAGAGAAACCAACAAAAACAACAACGCAGAAAACGGGGGGGGGTCTGGCGTATATATACCAAAACTAAACTTCAAGTGTGCTCCTCTTTTTCTGGAACTGGGGGGTGGTCCAGGTAAAGGTTAACCGAACTTTCCGGAGTTGGAGAAAAGGAGGATCAGTGTGGTGTTCAGACTCGTTTGAAGGGCCGTCACCAACGGTCCGGTGACGCCGAAGGGCCGTCCACGAGTGGGGTGCCGTTGGGTCCTTCGAAGGACGCTCACTTTGGTCCTAAGGACGATGGTCTGGGATAGTGCCAGTGCTTTCCAGGAGACCCGAGCTGGCATGGAGCGGGGTCCGGACACGGACTCAGATCTGATGAATGGGACTGGAATAGTTCACTCCATGAACATTGCCTCAATGTAGGTATAGCCGCTAGCCATACATGGATGGTCTATTTCTGGTTTGGGATTACTGTAGCCGTGGGTCATTTCCACCAACACGGGATGTGTCCCCCTCCCAAGTGGTTTCAGCTTTCCAGAAGTTCAACCAGATGGTATTTAAGTCAATGATTTGGACACCAACCAGAGTCTTGGGGTGCAAGATGGTGCAAGTTAGATCAAGTTCAGGGCTGGAGCCGCAAGAGCCTGCAGGAGCAGGTACTACCGAGCCTTCATTGCCGCAAACGCGCGGTTTTCTGTCCGTGGATCGCCTACTGAATCCCCTAGCCTCAGGACCTTCCCAGTTCGGTGCTGGGGCCTTCTAGGTCCAAGAGGTTGAAAACAAAGAGGGATCTGGTCAGTCTGGATGTGTCCGTGCTCTTGGGAGGCTCCGATAGTGGCGAAGATAGTGGCTGGGTTTGGCTTCGAAGCCATCGGCAAAGCTGGGTCTGGTGGATGGTGGCTGGGTGGATGGTGGCTTGAATGATATGGGAGGGCTCAGGTGTCACACTTGACCAATCAGTTGTGTAACATCAATTTTATTGACAGTTTGTTTTGAAGGATCTTTTTTGTTTCAAGTGTCTTATTATCGAATTACAGCTCTTTTGACTACTCGATTGCCTGCCAAACACATTCACTTCCATTGCGGTGTGAACCCCGCTTCTTCCATCCCACGCGGCTGCCGTCCTCCCTGGCTTTTTCCCTCGCGGCTTGCACCTCGATCTCCTCGCGCGCGTCGTCCAGAACTCGCGAGGAGATCGAAGGAAGAGTCATCCACAACAACGCCCTCTTTGCCGAGGCCCCGCCTCACGAGGTCAATCTGGACGAGGTGTCGTTCTCCGCTCTCCGAGAGCGCTGCTCCCCGAAAAGAACACCCAGACACTCCATGTATATGCCGATCAGTTGGGGTGGTTTCAGGGGTCAATGTATGTAAATATGCCATACATGGGGTGTCTGGGAAGTATACAAAAACATGATTAAATCAAGGGGCGAGATTTTTTCCGAAATTCAGGGGCCCCTGACCCGAGGATTTGGGATCCCTCCAGAGGATTCGGGTCCAGAAGCGTTTGCATGGCATGAAAACGTTGAAAAATTGTGGGAAGATGGCGTGCCATCATGTAGATTGTAGATTCCTCTAAGTATATAGGACCCGAAACCTGGCAGGGCACCAGCTGCGACTTTGAAGTCAGCATTTCACACCTTTTTTTGAGACCTGTTGGAAGATCCTGGTTTTTCAGGGATGTGAACCGAACCTGTTCAGCCGAGATGAGCCAGCTATATGCGGTATGTGATCCTCTACATGTTTGCACAAGCCCTTTCCATTGGGGATTTCCATTGGATTCTTCGGGTTTTCGTAGAGGTCCAACTCCATGGGATTGCGGACTGCCTATTATGGCATATTATGGCTGTGGGTAATGGCACCTGTAGCCCATTTCACCCTGGTAGGTGGACCATGTCTGGTAGGCTATTCTGTTCATTTTCTGTGGTCAACCACAGGGTGCCCTGGCTGAAAGACCCACGCATACATATGGGGTGGTTGATTGAAAAGGGGTCAAGGAAGTGATCACTCGATACCTGGAGTGTATGGGTTGGATTTGTCCCAGTAAAACCTGCAACAGTCGGTAAACAAGTATGTATAGTATATGTACTAGTTTAGAGAAAACAGAGAAAGGCTAGCCATCATCCACTGGGCCCTGGTGATAGGCTAATAGACCCAATATGACCCAATGCACGGGATTTTAAACAAACAGATCGACTGCACTCCCAGAGCATTGTTTTGACGGAATCTTGCGGATGTTCATGGGACACCGGGCCGTCATTGGGGATGGACCCGGAGCCGTCACAGGGCTCTTGGAACAAGATCTACAGCCCAGACAAGAACTACCATGTATATAGAGGTCAATGACCTCATTCAATCAAGAACTACAATGTATAGACTGTATAGAGGTCAATGACCTCATGTTATTGGAGTTGGTGATACAAAACCACGATTCAAGCAGGCAAACGACGTTCTACTGTGTCAGACTGGACGTACGTAGGGGTATGGTACATTGTCCCTTCAACGTTCACCAACTGATCGGCAAGTATGGCCGTCCCATGGAGTGTTTGGCCGGTGGTACAAGTATATAGTTGTGTGGGTCACGGGGCATGTCTCATGTTCTAAATCAATTAAGTGTAGGGTCCATGTTTGCCAGCGCATGGGCAGTATGGTTAGATCTGAGGCTGTATGGGTCATGAGTCGTGGGTGACCATGTCATTGCGGCCGGCCGGACAGCGATCAGCGGAGCTGTCAGCGGCCGTTGTGCCGGTTTCACCCTGTTCGAGCGTCCCAACGACCCGGGCTCCAGGCTTCATCCGAAATTGGGAGAGACCTCTCAATTTGACCCGCCAAGCTGGTCAAGCTACATGGTGTACCCGGGCTCCAAGTTTTGAAGATTTTTGGTCCGAAAAAAAGGCAACACTCATTGGGATCCTCTTGGATTTCCCTACGGAACTCCGACCGGACCGGACCGGTTCTTTCCAGGACACCCATGAGGTCAGCATGGTGCAAACAAAGGCGCCAGCAGAGGAGCCGACGGCCACGTGGTTGAGGTGCGATGACGGACTCATCACAA